CATGTCTCCCCCTCCTTCACTCTCTATTTCACCATGATACGTATTCCCTCTAAGTTGCCCGGGGTTGCGACCGCACACTAGTTTTGAATCTGCCGCGTAGTCATTTCGTAAAATACGTAAATCCCTGTATAAGTCTGTTAGAACACAGCCCACAGAAAATACACTTTGCACACTAGCTTTTCCCCCTTAGAGAAAACGTTGCCTGTGGCCACAACCTATTATCCACACCTCAACAGCCACACCTATCCCTACGTCCCGTCACCACTAACTTAAACACCCTCTAACCCTATCACCACTAAGGCTAACTTCAACATATAACCCACACCTCAACAGATACACCTATCTCTGTGCCCTACCACAACTAACTCAACACCCCCTAAAACCTATCCGCAACACCTCAAAATTCGCCACACCCCCGCCTTACTCCCTGTTATCAATAACATCATCCCTCCTCATCTATCATCGATACATCAACAACCATCAGTTCGTCACATCTTTCATCCAATCACCTTCCATCCCATCCACCATGTAGCAACAATAGGGTGGCGTGGCCAGGGTTTGTGGCTGGTCATTGTGTATCATGTGACATGCATGTTTCATCAGGTCTGGGAGGGGGGGGGGAGGGATACAATAAAAACTCTCTCAACGCTCATTGTTAGTTTTAACCTCAACTCAAACAGCCCGTACACATCATTAAAGACAACCAGGTTTTTTGCTGTTGTTTTTTTCGCAATTTTCGAAGTGTAAGGCAGGTTTTAGTAGCATAAGGTTTGACAAATGTATATTTGAAACTGCCGCGCTGTCATTTTGTTAAATAATCAGTGACAAACAGCTAACAAGTAAACAAGACTTGGGTACGAGTTTGGAAGACGTCTCTGAGTCATCTCAGCGCTAATGGGTATTTAGCTCACATTAGGGAAAACAGGAAGTCTAAGCATTGTGCTATACCACACTGTCCCTTCATATTTGTAACTGTCTTTAACTTGTACAGGTAACTAACACTATCTGTTTTATTAATAACTTTATATGTCGAGATCATTGAAACAGATGCGCTCTACTTTATCTGCCCCATGTTTCTCTGGGCATTAACATAAAAGGTAATGATAACAAACACACACACACACTCATATATATATATATATATATATATATATATATATATATATATATATATATAGGCCCTATATGTATGTATGTATATATATATATATGTTATATGATATATGATATACGTTATATATATATATATATATATATATATATATATATATATATATATATATATATATATATATATAAAACGTATATCATATATCATATAACATATATATATATATACATACATACATATAGGGCCTATATATATATATATATATATATATATATATATATATATATATATATATATATATATACGAGAAAAATGGCCCGTTGAGGAAGGATACACCGGGCGCTAGGCTGATAGTGCTGTCTCTTTTCTCTAAACTAAAACCACCACCCCCACACACACCCCCACCCCCCCACACACACCACCCCCCACCCCCACACACACCACCCCCCACCCACCCACACACCACCCCCACCCCCCACCCCACCCCCTCCCCCCCCCCCTCCCCCCCACCACCCCCCCTAAAAAACATGTCTACCGTCCCATTCAACGAAATATAATTATATACTTTTTCCAGTGTCCGCCCCCTCCCCGAAAATTCTACCCCCGCCCCCGAAAATTTCAAGTACCCTCACCCCTCTCCGTGGAGGAAAAAGTCTGAAAGAAACACTGGTGTCGCGCATAGCCACTACGCGAAGAATTGCATTAAAGAAATTGCAAGAAAACCACTTTTTAGATTAGACACATTAATTAGGCGGTAATTTTATTATAGAGTATCGATGAGGAAATTTCTTTTGAGTTGGGGAGAGGGGGGGGGGGCTCAGACGTTCTTACGCGGGGGTGGGGCTTCGCCCCTACCCGAAGAATTGTATGAAAGAAACTCTTCACGCAAACCACTTAGATTAGACCAAATTGCCTTTGTATTGAATGTTTACTCGATAATCAATGACGTCATATCAATGTGTGCACTATCCGGCTTGAGATTATTTTCTACTCTGTGCGCTAAATGTGTCGACGTCATACTTCGTTTTTCGAATTACTATGCATGTTTTTATTTTCCTTGTGTTTTCTCTAGAGCGTTCTTGTCAGACAGATAGATAGATAGATAGATAGATAGATAGATAGATAGATAGACAGACAGCGAAACTATTAGTATTAATATATATATATATATATATATATATATATATATATATATATATATATATATATATATATATATATGATCCGAAGCTGTGACTTGATGCCTTTTAAATATGGTCAGCAATGTAAACAACCCAGACGGCCTCACCAGGGGTCCTTTCATCAGAGGCAGATGGTGAAAGGCTTGTCTATGGCGGCTCCAAGGGGAGAGCATCCCAAAGGGGAAGCAACTCCAACTGACACGACGCCCAGTACGAGTGCTCGCGCCTGCGTGATGTCAGCAGCGATGACCAACGGTCAGTGACGGTGTTTAATAAACAAAAGCAGGAATGTGCGTGCTAATCGCATTTAGAACTGAAGGGAAAAGTTGTAATAGTCTATAACTCCGCAGCTAGTATCAAATTTATGGTCAGAATACAGGATAAATAAATACAGCTATCATTTGTTATTCTAGATTGGACATTTTGGCGAAATGTTTGATAACTAGCAGGGCTTCTTTTAGGTATTTTGCTCTGGGAGGGGGGAGGGGGCTTTTACTTTTTTGGGGAGGGGGAACTTATAATCTGCAGGGTGGGGGGGGGGGGGGGTAAGACGACTTACGAAAAAATAAATAAATAAATATATAAATTAAAAATAAATAAATAAATATATACATATATATATATATATATATATATATATATATATATATATATATATATATATATATATATATATATATATATATATATATATATATATATATATATATATATATATATTAAATATATATATATATATATATATATATATAATGCCACATCTAATTTAGATTGAAGATTCAATTGTTCAAGAAAGACTGCAACCAAAGTCATTGCCTAATTACGTGTTTACATTTCTCTTGTTCCCATACCAAAGTGTCTGACAATAGATAAAAAAAATAATAAAAGAATTGTCTGAAAGGTTGGAAAGGAAGGTAAAACACAAAAAGAAAAGGAAGCGTTGGATGGAGGCGGAAGCTGTAGGTTCGCGATTAATGAGCTTGTCACACCCCCCCCCCCCCCCACATCAATCAAATTAATCATGGTTATTTTTACTTTTACCGGGAATTCCCGTTTTCTGAACAATGCTCATCTATTGTTAGTGTATGTATGCGGTTTCCTGTTAGCCTTTTAAAAAAAGGATAATCTAGTAATTTAATGAGAGGGGCTATTGTGTTTTTGAAACAGGTGTGAGTTTCTTATGATTTGTCCAGGTAAACTCACAATCACAACAAATTAGTGAGGGGAAATTATTTAAAAATAATACACATTTTCAAAATTTGAGACGTTAATCTGACACTGTTCTTTAAGTGCAGTGTTTTTTTAGACACCAATTATATCATTCGTATGCTTTGACTAAATCTCCGTGGATCTCTAATTGGTCATCGAAGAAATTTAAAAAAACTTTTGATTCCACAGACTAGACATTCATAAAAGATAAAATGGTTGACTGTTTTGAACGCGTGCTTTTTGATACGCCATACAGTTTTATAATTGCGTCTGGGGGTTATTGCAAAATATGAATCATATTCTCCATGATAAAAGAACCGAGACAAACCAATTATTTTTCGATGATTTTTTTTTAAACTTCGCTCAAAGATGAATAGTGAATATGCTAGTTTTTTATTATATAAACAACGCAACTCCATTAAAATTATTAACAATGCTAATGGTTATTCAAGACTGATTTTTGCGTCCTGTTTTTTAAAAAGTAATATATATCTGTAAACTGGAAATATAAATGATGAAGAAAACAGGTTCCATTACAGACAAGTTAGACGCAGATTAACTGCAAGCGTAAGTCTGTAAACAGAAAGCAATCTTCAGGCGGGGAGTTACTTAAGAAACCTGAAATCTCAGGTTTATGACTAGGGTAGGGAGCGGGGAAGGTGTATTGTATACTTGCGGCAGGGGTGGGAAAGGCATAGAGTAGAGTTGTTGTTTTTTAAATTTACCCAAGGGTCTAGGAATTGATGAGGCAAGTCGATTATCTCCCTTATAACAGACTGTGGAGTTGGGAAGTCAAGGGCCATAAGCGCTGATATCTGGCGAATAGATCTGTTATAAGCACCCGACACGGTTCGGTGACCGAGGAATCGAAGTCGATTTTTTTTTATATAAATAACGGCAAAAAGGTTGGAAGGTGGGGTGGGGTGGGGTGGTTGAATCGCTGACAGTTTTGGCATCGTTAGGTGGAGTGGATGGTAACGGTATTGTCGTAACGTTTCCATGAATTACTCCCTCCCCCACCCCTCGGGGCACGAGATGTTCATAAGGGGGAAAGGGAGAGGGGGGGGGGCGAAGAGAAGCAGAGAAAATTTGTTTGCCTTGCGGTGGTATTGATGAGTTGCATGTATTGTTTACAGAAGGTACACAAACGAAAAGATAAAAAATGTGTTTATATATATATTTATATATATATATATATATATATATATATATATATATATATATATATATATATATATATATATATATATATATATATATATATATATATATATATATATATATATATATATATATATATATATATATATATATATATATATATATATATATGTGTGTGTGTGTGTGTGTGTGTGTGTATGTGCGTATATGTATGTGTGTGTGTAGAGTATTGTAAGTTGAACAATGGAATAAAGTTCCGTGGTATGTTTTCTGTTGTTTTATTTATGAGTGGGGGCATTATTGTCTGCAGACCGAATGTAGAGGACTTACCCATTTGCGAACATCCGTCCCCATCCGACATCGGGCTTTTCCGTTTTCGAGGGCGCCCTTTCTGTACGGCGCCGACGCCGTTGTAAAAAGGAATCGGCGGCCCTCCCCCTGGGCTATGCGCCCCGTGGGGTCCCATCCCCGGGCTCATACTAGGGAGATTGAACTCGCCCTGGAACATGAGTTCGTAGTCCATGCGGCAGTAGATGAGATTATCCTTGAGCCCGTACTGCTCGCCAGATTTCAGGGTCCGGTTGCAGGCGGTGCAGGCGAAGCAGGTCAGATGAAAGACCTGGTCCTTGGCCCTCATGATGAGCTCGTTGGCCGAGATGGGCATCTGGCAGCGAGCGCAGTTCTTGACGGCGAACCTCCTGGGAATAAGGGAAATAGTCAGGTTAAGGTTATGTTAGGATTAGGGGGTTTGAGGGAAGAGTTTTTTTCCAGGCATCTCTTTATGGAGTCTTCTCCCCACCCACTACGAAAATCGCCTACCATTCCCCACCCCCACCTGTACAAAATGGTGAGGGTTAGATATTGTATTGGTGAAAGTAGAAGTGAGATTTATGGTTAAGGTTTGGTTTTTGATACATGAGATTAAGTTTCTTGGTTTTATTTTTGTTTTTTAATTATTTTTTTTTTAAATTTAATTTCAATTTCAATTTTTATTTTTATTTACTAGACCAGCTAGAATAGGCAAATTAGCGGTTTTTTTTTTTTTTTAGTTTGAGGGTTTTAGTAATTTTAGAGTGTTAGGTTTTAGGTTACTGTAAGGTCTCAGACTTGTAGGTTAGTCGTTTAAGTATAAGGATAAAATTAATTCCCCTTTAACGGAGTTGTCCAGCCGAGTAAAAACTCAGTTAAACGTACACAATGTGTCATACACACCGGAAGTGAAGATGAGTCGTCACACCCACGTGATCAAACACATTCTCCGCTACCCTCACTGGCAGGAAGATTCAAGACAAACTTCAATTGTTGAGTAAATGTTGGTTTAGTCAATCAATTCTGGATCCCACACCACCACACCCACACACCCACACACCCACACACCCGCACCCCGCTCTTATCTTTACCGATTTTTTTTGTTTTAATTTTTTTTTCAAGAGTTCTTTGTCTATCTTGCAACATCGAATTCCATCAAAATGGAAAAGTGTTGTGATTTACTTTACAATTCCAAACACTTTGGATCAGTAAGACCAAGTAAAAGAATGCATCAAATGAAAAAAAATATTGATAAAATGCGATGTCATTTTTATCCCGTCGTGTCGGGGTGGGACAGTGATCGTACGATTTTTTAATTATTAAAAAAAACAGGAGAGGTAAGTGTTAATTACAGACATCGCTGGGAGTAGTCTCCCTTATAACTATCGTCTGCAGGTCGAAATTTTAAAATCAATAACTTCTCACGGAAGTCGCTCTAGAGTAATCGATACGAACAGGTAAGTCTAATTTTTGTTCGTGTTTGTTTGATTTTTTTTTCTTATATTGAGTTATGTTGTGTGATCTCACATGATACGGGAATCTAGGGGAGGTAATTCTGTTGGTATTTCCAAAGGAGAGACAACCCAGCGATAGTTTTAAGACAAAATCTAAAAAAACATGCGATATCGAACTTAACAGCCTAGGGTTAAAACCAGCGAGTCACAGGACTCGACGACAGATGGATATAAGGGTTTACATAACTTCGTGGCTTGCGATAGTGGCCAAAAACCTAACAAGTTTTCCAACATTAAAACTCAAATGTTACTTCAAAATAACAAAAACATTGTTTTTATATATACATATATATATATATATATATATATATATATATATATATATATATATATATATATATATATATATATATATTCATATAAATTTCACAAGAAAAACTAAGTTCCCAAGGTATTTCCTCACTTGCTCCGCGAACCAAATCCGACGAGTTATGCTCCACTCCCACCCCCACCCCCCTCCCCGCCAGACGAGCTCCCCTCCGCACCCCCTGACGAGTTTGGCACCCCCACTTCCCAAGGCCCGGCGTTAATCCTCGCCTCCTTCCCAAAATACACAAACACGGAGGGTGTCCCACTGCTCTTTCGATCACCTCCGTCTTAGTTCCCCACGTGCTGTAACGTTAACACGCGCATGCTCAATCCAGATGTCTGCAGTTTTACGTTCCGTGCCCAGAGTACCTCCACTTCAGATCAGAAATTTTAGAAAAAAAAATGTTTACGCAAACTTAGTATCCGATCTGAATGTTATATTTTTTTATTTTATTTTATTTTTTATTTTTTATTTTTTTTTTATTTTTTTTGCGATTTAATTTTTAAAAGGAACAGTTCTTATATTTTATAATAATTAAGTAATTAAGGATAAAATAAGTGGAGAAAATTATTACAGCCGTACTAGTATCCCCTGTCCCGTTCATAGACGGGAAAATCTGCTAGTATTCATGTGTTTTGAAACTCGGCCTCCCCGGCTCGTCTATGGGTTTATAAGAGCTGCCGCGAAGTTGGTGGGACGGGGGAAAATCGTTTACGAATGCGTGTGCGAAATTCATTTTCAAATCAGTCACGGCTCATGAGCACGGATTTGAGAGGGATCTTCAAATGTTTTGCCTCGGTCTAGAGTGCGACGGCCGATACTGAAACGTCACTTGGCTGTGGGTTGTTTTTTTGTTATTGATTTTATTTTCTGCATTTTTATTCCGTCGATTTCACGGGGGAAAGCGCTAAGCGGGATTCGGTAACGCGCCTTATTTGTTAGAAAATATAAAAACACAAGATGCTGAAAGACTTCTAAAAGAGCTATTTTGTTTAACGTTCTTCTAATTTCTAGCGTATTCACACTAGAGAATAAACACTTGCTTTATTTAAGCTATTTCTGTTTGTCATTTTTCCTTAGTTTCTTTATAATCGAAATCTTCAAATACCTATCAGTCTACAATATATACAGCATTAGACTTGTTAACTTCACTTAAATTTATACGGAGTTGTATAGAGACTTCTACACACAAAATAAATAAAAATAAAGACGACTCTCTTAAGAATGAAATACATGATACAAAGTTTAAAAACAAGTGGTCGAGTCGGTAAAGCCCATGGTTGTTAAACCGAAAAGTCTCGAGTTCGAAACCTCGTACAGATAAGGCTCGTTAGCTTGAGACAGCAACTCTTCTAGGAAAGACAACTCCAAAATTAAACAACTGCTGCCGTGTAGTTTGTTCTTGGTTGGACAAAGGCTTTGGAAGCATATCCAAAAAGAAAAGCAGGCTGAATTCGGAAGCAATGGAATATGGCGCATAACAAAACGACACGTAATACTTAATTGTGTTAAATTAAGAACAAAGAGGAAAAGACACTGAACCAATTGCACGCGTGTAAATCCCTTCCTCAATGCATGCCTCATCCCACCACACACACACACCCCTTCTCTCTCTCTATCCCTCTCTCACACACATACATACATACATACACATACACCCCACCCTACACCAACCCCTCAGTCTCCGCTACGAATTCTATACAGGTCTACAAGAAAGTCCCCTGCCAAAAGTAAACATATTCCAGCATTTTTTAAAACTCTTAGGCAGTAAATATTCAGTCCGTGTTTTTATTCCGATCCAAAGGTTGGGAATAAAACACTTTCCTTTAAAAAAATCGAAATAAATCAAAAAAACCCAACCTCCATTCTTCTTTAAAAAAAAAAAATCTCGACAAATCGAAATAAAACAACAGCGATGTACTGTTGCTGTAGGGATGTGCTACAAGAACTATTTGACGGCTTTGGGGGGGGGGGGGAGGTTCCAGTTTTGTTTATTTCGTTCTTTTTTATTTCAAGATACTTGTCTGTTATTTGACTAGACTGGCTGGTTGTTGTGTTTCAAGATGGTGTGTTACTTTGATCTGGTTTGTGGGTCACTTGTAATTTGTACATTTTGTCAGTGGTACAGACAGATTGTTAGTGCTCTAGACAGAAAGTCAGTGATCTAGACAGAAAGAAAAGACATTTTTGTCTGTGTGTAAGTTAGGTGTGTGGGTGTGTTATGTTAATTGGTGTGCTTGTTTCACGTATTCGGTTCACATACGTGTATCTGTTTACGTGTGTGTTAAATACAAATACGTAACACATTAGACAAATGTTCACGTCAGAAGCTTATGCTCACGTACGTGACCGTGTCCACGTGTGCGTTCACGTTCCACGGACCGCCCAGCACCCCGGCATAACCCCCCCCCCCCCCTCCCGGCAGACGAAGAATGAAACGAAATAAAATGTATCACAACAGTCACCTGACATGACGTCACGACAGGCATCAGAATGCATGCGTCTGTTTTTTGTCTGTTGGGTGACGCTAGCGCGCGTACCTCCATGAAAACACGGGTGAGTTCCGGCTACCCATAATCCCCGCGTCGTCGGTGTGCCAGAGTTGATTAAGGTACAATCATGCAGACCCCCAGCCCCGCTTGTGGGAGGTTCGTTCGTGCACTTGGTGGCACTGAAAGTTGCATGGACAGGTGCACTGTTGGTCAAGTATATACATGGACGCTGTTGGTCTAAATAGACAAGTGCATTGTTGGTCAATATAGACAGGTGCACTGTTAATTAAAATACAAAGGTGCACTGTTGGTAAGAATAGATAGGTGCACTGTTGGTCAGTAAGACAGTGGCATTGCGTGTTAGTTATAGACACATGCACTGTTGATCCGAATAGATAAGTGCACTCTGTTTCAGAATAGACAGGTGCACTGTTGGTTACATTAATCTAATTACAATCACGACTGTAGATAGTATTAGAAAGACACTGTTTTATCAAAATAGCCGCGTTGTCAACTAGTATTTGTATTGGTTTTATGTAGCATTGGATGCGAAACTATGACAGGCTAGGTATTTAGCCATATGTTGGATGTGATACCATGACAGACTAGGTATGTAATTATATGTTGGATGTGTAAGTCGGAAGTGTAATCACTTCTTGTTAAAATGTTAAAAGCGTTACGAGGTAGACGCGTAATCATGACGTATTTGGTGTGTAGATTTGACGTATTAAATGAGCATCTTAAATCCCTCCGGTATCCTGACTAATCCGGAAGTTGCGAAAAAAAGTTGAGAACAAAAAAATTGTTACAACAAGTTGCTCTTACCACCACTACCCTCGTCTGCTCCACGCCCCCCACCCCCCTCCGACCCACCGCACCCCCTCCCCCGCAAAAAAAAAAAAAAAAAAAAAAATCCGTATTGTAAAAATGTTTTTAAAGTTGAAGTCGCGGGAAGGATTAAAACAATCAATTCCCGCGCTTTTTTGTGTTGACACTGTCCTGTTGGTCTGGCACCGCGAGGCCACTAACGACGGCAGCGTCCTCTAGAGGCGACGGGTCTCTGGTGGGATGGA